GTGGCGGTACTACTACGGTTCTTGAGAAGAAAAAGGTATTTTAACTCCAAAAATGTCTAAATGTCCCTGCGCGTAATCTATTTTCGTAGGAGTTTAATTGAAAAAGTCATTCCCGAGTATGCCCGACTGCGATATCAGGAAATCGTTCGACACGATATGAAATTTTACGGGTATCTCAAATGCTGATAGTAATACTTTTCCGTAGGTATACACCGGATGACTGTTTATACCGCACAATTTTTAAATGTTAGACCGGTAAATCTCTATATCTTCGGGTACAAATTTTTCTTTAATGACATTCGGTCCTGAGCCCGTATCTAGTAACAAGGTTACAAACGGAACAGAATCAGCTATTTTTATTTGCACCGTACGCAAACGACCGTGTCTGTCAAGATTTATTGTTACCGGATGTACGTTAGTTTCGCGACTGTCTACTTTGACGCGGGGCCGGCCGGTGTAGTAGGGTGTGAACATTGTTCGGTCCTTTGTGACGCACCCATCTTCGAGGGGCCGTTGAAGTTTTCCTGATTAATTTCTTTCCTACTATTGTTGCTTGCTATACGTAACTTACAATCTTCCTAGAAATGTTTCGGTTCTTTACAATATCGGCAAAAACCGCCGCTGGTTTGAGACTGATTCGCGCGACATTCTTTAGCCGTGTGACCGTAATTATTGCAAATTTGACAAACTACTCCAGGCTGACGCGATTGTTTGCGTCGTTCGTTCTGTTTTTTCCAACAATTGGTAGCTGAATAACCGGTTCTATCGCACCATTGGCAAACCACAGATAGTTTACTAGTACTTTGCCTCGAGTTCTTATTTGACTGACAATCTTTTGCATTATGACCTTGAACAAACAACGCGGGTTTCTTGTACAACGTTTATATTTTGACGCGCTTGCGGTTTTCGGAGACAACATTTTTCAGCACTATGACCTCGTTTTTTGCAAATTTGGCAAACTAAAATCTCAGGCCCAAGGTCAACGCGTTAATCTTGGGAAAATAGCTCGAGTTTTTGGCAGCTTTCCGCTGCATGACCCTCCATGTAACAAACCGGCAAATTTCTTGTTTACTATCAGAAATTTTTGCTTTATTAACGCTCGAGTTTCCGTGATTGCCTTGCCGTAAGTCGTTTATTGTCTGCAACTCTTTTTCTATTCGTAGTGCATCGGCCACCGTTTCGTGAACATCCAGGTTTCGAGAAATCCTCTGTTCGATTTCTGGTTTCAACCCCCGTATGAAACATTTGCACATGTCTTTTTCTACTTCCGCCTTCACACTTTGACTTCGCAATCCCTCGTTAATACCCTGATATGCTTTTAATATCTGCTTTTCTAGTGATTTTACTCTATTTGCGTAAGTAATCACGTCTTCATTATCTTTCTGATAAACGCAACCCAGCTCTCCCTGTAATTGATACACGGTTTTAGGAGAGCCATACACTCGTTTTAAAAATTTTGTTAGTTGCGCGATATTGTCGAAGGTTTCGTCTTGTATAGTATGACGAGCTTCACCTACGATACGAGTTCTTATAACTTTTGTAAACCGACTCTCGATTTCTTTTGGAAGCATAGACTTTGCTTCCTTGCATCCTTTAATAAAATAATTCATTGGAATGTTTGTTTTATCAAAGAAGGTCACGGCCTCCACTGCGTATTTGAGAGTGGCAAAAGGATTAGATGCTAGATGAGTTATGATTTCAAACTTTGTATTATCTAAATCTCGCAGATTGCTACTATCACCGGGTATTATTAATGTATTATTTTTTATCTCACCAGCAAAAGAAGCAGAAGGACTAATGATAGTTTCGTCAATGACTGTGTCACTGAAATTTGATATTTTTGCTACCGAAAAAGTGAATGGATTGATAATGGTTTCGTCAGGATCGACACGCAAAGGATTTATCGATGGTTCTGGCGTAGAAGTGGCTACTGGCCTTGACACTTTTTGTTGAGTTTTTGACTCAATGGCAGCTTTATAGGCTTTATTTTTCTCATATTTATCCGACATGGACCTCGTACTCATTCCTGTATCTCTCCGATCGCACTTTTCATCCTGGACAAGCCCCCAAAATTTCAACGTGCTGTTACGTCCTGGGCCTACGTTAACGGTCGGGTCCTAAAAGAGTGACGCAACTGACACACGACACTTGCGTGTCTTACTCCCGGCACAGTGACCCAGAGAGATACGAGCGTCAAGTGCGCGAGTCGAGCGAAATTTCGGTGTCGCAACCAAGCCAACGAGTGTTTCTCGCTCTGGCTTGTTTAACGGCTTCTCGCTCGTCGGTTCCTTTTCGAGTCTTAGGTCGAGGAACGCCAGGTTCCTTTGCGAATCTAAATTACTCGGGAAGGAACCTGGCGATCAACCGAAAGATGACAGGAATGAGAACAGTTAAGGTGAGGTCCAAGGGTTAATTACTTTTAGTCACTTTTATTTAGGCACTATTCTATTAACATTTCTTTATTTATTTCGAGTATTACAAGTTAGATGTGGTCACAATCTGTAGTTTCTATGGGTGTCAAATGTCTGTGTACGCATGAGTGAGAGTGATTGTGTGTATCTATGTATACATGTGTGTGTGTGTCTCAGTCGTCCAGAGTTACCACAATAACTTCCTTTATTACTGCTGATGGGGGAGGATAAAAACGATAAAAATACCTGATTGGAACTTTGCGGACTTTAGAGAAACCGGGAAATTTTGCGAAGATAGTATGGTCGGGAGGAAGAGTAGAGACGGCGCAGCGAAGGGAGTTTGGAAATCTTATTCTGAGGTCGAGGATTAATTCATTTTCAGAAGGAGGAGGATCGGAGACGTGGAAGGTGTTGGCCAAAAGAATAAAATGACCTAACTGGTGAGGAAGTGAATCTTTTTCATCGCTAGTTGTTTCGGATAGATTGTTCATCGTCTACTGGTTGGTCTCGTGGTGATTCTGGAAAAGGGGGGCGAGGTGGGTGACAAAGGGGGGAAAAAGGATGAAAATCTGGAATTTCTTCAGGAAGTACGGGAGAGTAAGAGGGCGAATCTAAGATCGACGGCTGTGGAGAAGGTGGAGTGGGCGTAAGAGGAGATGTCGGAGGGGACGACTGAGTCTCCGGTGGCAGTGAGCGAGAGTTCTACATTATTAGGCGTTTCCCTTGGGATATTGTCAACTTAGGTGATCTCATCGAGTCGACTGGCGACTTCCTTCCGCCGAAAAGCCCAATTGCGGCGATTGCGCCTGGTTATGATCGCGTTTTGCGATCTCAAGCGGATCCGGGGTTCCACTTAAAAAATGAACTTTACTTTACCGACCAATACTTAACTAAAACGGTTACTATGTCACCATAAATTTGCAAACTAATCTCCGGAACGCTGCTCAGCGCCAAAACTTGACAGCGGCTCAGAACGACCCTAGAGATCGCGAGTTGCTTGTCTGAATAAAAGGAAGTCAGCAGCGGTTCAGAACGATTCGAGAGATCGTGAATCGTTAGTCTGAGGAAAAAGGGAGTCAGCAGCGGCTCAGAACGATTCGAGACATTGTGAGTCGCTAGTCTGAAGTAAAAAGGAGTCAGCAGCGGCTCAGATCGATTCGTGAGATCGTGAGTCGCTATGTGAACTAAAAGGGTCAACTCGACACGGTCAACGCTCCGGATATCAGCGGTGTCGTGAATACGGATAAGTTATTTATAGAACCCCCGGTCTTACTACTTAAGCTACTGTAACTTCTATTTTTCTTTTTACTTACTACTTGTTGAAGCCGAGTGATAAATACCGGGATCTCCACCTGGGTCGGATCTGCAGAGTGGCAAGCTGGGTTGGCTCCTGTTAGCGGTAGCCGTCGTCAAGATACAGATGCCACTTGTTGATCACTTTTACAACTTCGGACTTTACTTAGAACCAAGACCGCACTTTGAATACAATACTTGATTACTCTGGATGGTGCAAGGTGAAGACGCTCCTCAGCTCCGAGTTCCAGCATTTATACTTGGCTTTTTGCCTCCTAGATACTTGGGTTTTGCCAATCAGATTTGGATTCTAAATCTCTTCTTATTATCTAGATTAAAAATCGGATCTTGATTTGCAGATCCGCACAAGCAAGAGCGCCAATCACCGACGTCGGCCAAATCGGCCTAATTATCTTTTGTTTATAATTCGCAATCGGCTTCGCACTATCATGTTTAATTTGCGCGACTGACCACTGACTTAATTTTGACTTCTCTTTCGGAGATAAGAGGATCTTTGATTTTCATTCGCCTGATTCAAATTACCTGCCTCGGCTGCTGTGCGAAAACTTTTATTGTTCTTTATTTTACTGCGAATTAGAAATCAAATCCGTCGATTCATCGTGGCAATATCCAGCGTCTAAACTGATTATAATTTGTTTACTGCCACTGGCCGACTCCTCGTTCTCCATTCAGAAAGTTTACGTCTAAGATTACAGTTAGTTACAATTTTAGGACCGGCATACCGTTCCTACGTTGCAAAAAAAAGGAACCGTGAAATCCATGACGTAACAATACAGAGTGACCAAAAAGTACCAGGACGGTCGAATAACTCTTCAAGGAAGCGTTTTCAGAAAAAATGTTTCAAACCAGTTTGAAGAATCAAAGCAAGGTATGTGATGGTGGACATTTTACCTTGGATCAAACCATCAAATTTCAAGGTTATTTGAAGGTCAACTTTGAAATTTTAAACGAGTATCTTTGTTTTGACTTCAAAAAGGAGTCAAAAGGCTCACTATGACCGAACAACTAAATACGTATTTGAACGTAAAATTTCCTGCTCTTTTCATTTCTGGAGTCAAAAACAGGAGTCGTTATTAAAAATTTCTAAGTTGACCTTTAGATGATTTTGAAATTTGACATCTCGGTTAAAGGTAAGGTCACCATCAAATATCTTGCTTTAATCCTTCAAACTTTTGTTTGAAACATTTTTTCCCAAAACGCTTCCTTGAAAAGTTATTTGACCGTCCCGGAACTTTTTGGACACTCTGTATATATAGTGTTTCAGATGAAGTACAAATGGTGCTGCATCTTAGGCTTCCGCCTGGAACATTGCCTGACCATCTTCAGCAGGCAGAAGCGGAAGAAAAACACCGTCAATGGGTGTGGGAGAAACTGCGAAGAAGACGACTGGAAGTGCTGATGGAAGAAAATCTCCACGAGCGGAAAACAGTCTGCTTGTCGGAGATCGGAAATAATGCCGATGACTCCGAGAACGACACCGACACCGGTGCCGACGACGACGACGACGACGACAACAAAGACGACGCCGAAAACGCCGATAACACTGACGACGACGACGAAGACGCCGATAACGCCGACAATGAGAGCGGCAAAGACTCCAATAAAGACGAGATTGAAGATTCCGCCGAGGAAGCGGAAGAAGGGTCGGGAGGTGATTATTAAGGCTGCGGCTTAGAATCGAATAACAGTGTGATTCGGATATCCGGATATTCGGATATAATATATATGTACGAATAAATTTTGATCAATGGATAGTATTCGAATATCCGGATACTTCGTGCAGCAAATAGTACGAATAGTATGAGTTATTCGAATATTTGTATTATCCGGATATTTCGATATATAATCAGTAGCATATAACCTAGCTTGAGACCTGCAAATGTATGCATGTTAGTATTTAGTAGTGAAACTATGAGAGTTCTAAACCATGGAGCTCCGAGGAGAGCGCGGAGTATAACGTCACAAGTAGAGGGGTGACGTTACACAAAAGAGGGGAGGGGGCGCGGGGCGTGACATCACAGTGGAAGAGTAATGACGTCACGTGGAAAGGGGGTATGACGTCACGCGCGGAGGGGGTAGTGACGTTACGCGGAGGTGTGGCACTGTAGGATATGACGTCAGGAAGTGACGCGGAGAACCCCTGTTATGGCGACTTTATACGCGCACCAGAAGCGACTGGTGAAGAAGACGTTACTATTTTTGATACTGATTTTGCTAACCTTTCTTCATTTTTCTGAATGACGCTTTCCACAGTATTCAGATGTGTTACCGTTGCGTTTAGCACCTTTAGGTGATGTTTTATAGCATGTTCTTCCGCTTCCTGTCTCTTTTCCAACAACCTAATGTGTTCAGTTATAATTTTTTGTCACTTGCATTCATTGTGCCAAATAGTTGCTTCGCTATTGACCCTACTCCGTTTACCAAACTTCGTCGTTTGCGTGGTGACAACCTTACCATTATCCTAATTCTGCTAAAAATGTGTTCTACCTTTCGTTCTCTGCTTAACACTTTAGTATACACATCTAGACAACTTATTCTATTTTCGTCATAGATGTCGCTACTTTGACATATCTTAGTGGTTTTTAAAACTTTTTGAGCCTGGTTTATTTTTATTTCTAACGCTGCTATGTTTAATTTAATTACTAATTTCCATTTTTCTACAGCTTGCAGTAACGTTCCCTGTTTCTCATAATAACGTCCGGGATTGTGCTGAAACTGTATTACCGTACATAAGTTGGTTTAGTTCCACCGTTCAAGAACTGTAGTTGAAACACTGCTAACGCTATCAACAGAAGTCTGTAAGGTAAGAAGATGACTATGACTTTTATACACGCGCCTTTTGTACGCCTGTGGGACTCGGAAAATCGTTTTATCTGTCTAAATTTTCCAAGTTAGCAGTTTATATCTGCGGTCTCCTTTTTATGGTGTTATATTGTATACTTATGCTACCTCGACCAGAGTCTCCGTAAAGTACCAACGTCCGTTTTGTCAGTCGTGTTCTGTCTCTCGATTGCGACTATTTTGAGGAAAAAAAATTGTTTTTGTGTTTTCTTTTAATTTTATTATTTTGTTATGGATCTTCCAGCCGTCAGTGTTTCATCTTGTTGTGTGTGTGGAGTAGAGGCCTCGTGGCCTCGTTTGTGCGACTTTTGTTGCAACCACGACCCCCGCATTGTGTTGGTGACTTCTGAACTTTGTTATCTGTGCTGGGTAGCCGCTACCCGTGTCGTGCACTTCATTTCACACCATCCCGGCCACCAGGAACACACCCAGGTGCTTTCCTGGTTGATGTCACATCCGTGGACATAAATGTATTAAGTACCCATTAATTATTATTATATCCAGTTTTTTTTTCTTTTTCATTTTTAACAAGAAATAAATAAGACCGGTACGAGCCATTTGCAGGATGTTTGTGCGGAAACTATGCGTGTACATATATATATATATATATATATATATATATACATGTAACGAATTCTACTTGTAAATTTTTACAAGTATTTTTTTAATTGAAATCTCAATTCTTAAAATCATACGGGATGCTGGATTTGCATCTTACAGATAAAAAACCTTGGATACCCCCCTAACTAATTTTAAAGTATTGGGAAAAAAAACTCCTCAGCCAGAAGTCAAACCTGGAATCTCCGGCTTTCCGTGCTATCGCCTTCCCTGTTAGGCCACCGAGGCACTTAAAGTTAGTCTCGCAATACTCATACATATATCGAAGATGGTCTGATAATGTTGTTAACGGTAAGTTTCAGCCAGCGTAATTACAAAAACTCAACATGAAATAAATTAATATTTTTCATTTTTACCCCCCCCCCTTATCATTACAGTAGTCTGGAAAGTACCAATCTTGAAAATATACCATGGTCGGTAATATACCATAGTCGGTAATATACCATGGTGGATAACATACCATGGTCGGTAATATACCATGGTCGGTAATATACTATGGTCGGTAACATATTATGGTCGGTAATATACCATGGTCGGTAATATACCATGGTCGGTAATATACTATGGTCGGTAACATATTATGGTCGGTAATATACCATGGTCGGTAATATACCATGGTTGGTAATATACTGTCATCACAGGCGATATATTTGTTATTAAAAAGATTTTAATAGCGCACTAATTAAGAGATTAATACCGTATATAGGATTATTAGCATGTTGTACCACTGGTCACGCATGCAAAGCGTTACAGCGGATCTATGTAAAAATAGCGATATAAATTATTCAGCTTAATAGCTATAATATTTTTTTAATAGTCTTTTTTATATTAATATTTTTATAATTATAATTTTTTAATAATTTCTTTTAATATTAAGAAGACCGGACACATGAAGTTCATTTGCGAACTAAAGAAACAAAATGATGCGAGAAGACAACAGGGAAACGAGAGCAACGGTTCGACAGACAAGAACGCCAGTCGAGCCGAGACATCAACAGAGCGTCCGACAACCACTACAGACGTCATCAAATTGCCATGATTCAGTACCAACCCACGGTTCATGCACCAAACATCCGCGCCAGCTCCAAACATTTCAAGGACATCGCAAAACTAATGTTAGACACTGGCTCATAAATAAACCTAATAAAAGCAAACGTGTTGCGTCAGGATATGAGCATCGATTACACAAAAATAATCAAGATAACCGGAATATCTGACCAGCAGTTGTCACCTGCGAAGTTGCTTTAAATACAATTTTCGGGATGGAGGTACTCTTTCATGTGGTAACGGATGATTTCCCGATAACTAAAGACAGAATTATCGGATCTGGATTTATGAAAGAACATAGGGCTACAATAGATTGCCATCGGGAAGAATTTCTTTTCGGCGATTTCCAGATTTCTTTTGTCACCAAAAATACAATGGTCGCTCCTGCACGCGCAACAGTCACCGTGTGCGCTAAAGTAGCAAACACAAAACTATCTGAAGGTTTTCTTCCGCGAATGCCGTATCCACAGGGCATTTATGCTAGAAATGCCATTGTCAGAAACACTGGGAGTCATGCTTATTTCAAGTTAACTAACACTACGGAACGAGACGTCATCGTGCCCGTTCCCACCATCAGCATAGAGGACTTCCAAATAGTCAGTCAAAAATAATCATGAAGTGCATCAGAACGTCTCTGGGACCTCTGAATCACACGGTTAAGTCCATTTGGCGGTGCTCAAAGAAACCGCATCTGAATATATCAGTAATACAAGTAGTGTCTGTTCTGTAGTACCTGGCAGTTTAAACGAACTGCAGGGATGTGTATCTGAATCTGTATCTGCACCTGTATTTGAATCTGTATCTGAGTCTGAATCTGCATCTGAATCCGTATCCGCACTAGTGCCAGTCTCTGAAAGAAAATATACTGAATATTCTGAACACACATCTGTTAATTTATCTGTTACCCCTTACGGTCTGTCTTATAACTCTAAGAAACGAGTCACCGAAGCGATCAAGCAAAACAATTACTGAAGCTACATTATTTAAACTCTGAGGAAAGGAAGAACGTCGAAGAATTGATAAACAAGAGCGCTGATTGTTTTCACCTACGAAGAGCTTTTGGAACATACGGATGTTCTAGCTCACAAAATAATAACAACAGATAATGCCTGCATACCAAACAGTACAGGTTTCCGCCAATACGAAAAGAAATCAGCAAACAAACCACCGATTTGTTGAAGAACAACATCATTCAGCCATCTTTATCGCCTTACAATTCCCTTTTGTGGATTGTGCCGAAAGAGGCTGGCTCACACGGAAATCCGAAATGGCGAATAGTGATAGACTACCGGAATCTCAACGAAAAGACCTTTGGCGACGCTTATCCGTTGCCAAACATAACGGAGGTATTAGACCAGCTAGGATCAGCCAAATACTTTTCGGTGTTCGATTTGGCGTCAGTATTCTACCAGATTCCCATGAATCCGGAAGATAAACCAAAAACAGCTTTTGCAACGTCCTATGGACACTACGAGTTCAATCGGATGCCGTTTAGTTTACAAAATGCACCAGCAACCTTCCAAAGATTGATGGATCATGTGATGGCCGGACTGCAAGGTCTTGAAGTGTTTGTCAACCTTGACGACATAGTGCTGTATGCCCGATCACTCCGAGAATATGAGATCAAGTATAATAAATTGGTGCAAGAATTAAGGCAAGCCGATCTCCGGTTGCAACCTGACAAGTATGAATTCCTAAAAAAGGAAGTGGCCTACTTAGGGCATGTGATCAGCAAAGAAAGCGTCAAACCAGATCCGAAGAAACTGGAAGCAGTAAAGAAGTTTCCTAGATCAAAAAACGTAAAAATGATCTGCCAGTTTTTGGGCTTTGTCGGTTACTATAGAAGGTTTATACCCTTGTTCTCAAAGTTGGCTAGCCCGTTGACCGATCTGTTGAAAAAAGAAGCAAGCTTTGGTTGGACAAACCGACAGGATGAACCGCGGCAAATTCGTAGTGATCTGTACATCGTTTATTACTTTAGTCGCGTGAATCGATAAACTTGAAGTTACCAGCTTGCATTGCTCCGCCAACTCTATCTCTCCAACGCCGTCCACGACCTTGCTTTGTTTCTGTTGATTTTCGCAGGAAACCAGCACTGATTGGCTTTTTAAAATTGAATACATTCATACACGCATTGTTTCTAATTTTAGTTTCCATATTGTGTGATTTGTCACCACCATTTCTTCCTTAGAGTTTGAAAAGTCTCCTGACTCGCTAACATAAGCTTGCACTTTGCAAGGTGCATCTTTGTGCACTTTATACACTGACTCGACATTATCACACACGTAATCGTTTTTTACATGTTTGCATCGATCCAACTCACTTCTCGTTACGACTGAGTACGTCTGCCTGTTTGCATCTACAGATCATCTGATTTTTGATCTGAGCTACCGTAAACACGTTATTGTAATCGTGCACCGATAGTAACACTACCCTAAACACGTTATACTGTACAGATTTTACCAAAGAAAATTTGACAATAGTATACACACTCGCACCTTTACATTAGACGCTAACTGTTACATATTCTTTAATAACTAGCCAGTTCCCTAGAGTTACAGCAAACGGGAAAAGCAACCCGTGGGTCGACTAATTGCTCGCGTCCCGGAGACTTTTTAATATTACCTCGACGGGTACTACTTCTAACTGTGCGAACTTTGTTTGTACATCCATGATGTACTCCATGACAATTTCCACGTCGAACTCGAGTTCGGTGATTACGTGTCCTAGTTCCATAAAATACTCGGTTGACTCCGCCTGTCGTGCATAATCGTCCACCTTTTGGGTTATCTCTAATACCGCGTTTCTCAACTTAATTTCGTTTTTCTCGACTATTTCTTCCACGGTTTGTACGTGCGCGAGTGTTGCGTTTACGACCTGCAACTGATTTTTAATTACATGTTGTAGCACCGTCTGTTGTTTCCTCACAAACTCTATTTGCTCCAATATCTGTTTTTCATCGTCGGCGTCCATGGTGCCAAACAAAACTTTTGCGATAGAGCTTATCGCGGTTACTAGCCTCTTTTGGTAACGCGTTGATGTACTCACAATCGTCTTTACGCGTCTGGCTAGTCTTTTCACCTTTTGCAATCTTCGCTGTGTTGGATGTCGAAGAAGGTCGGGTGGTAAAGATGAGGTTCAAATCACAAACTTATACTCTTATCTTTATTGCTCCGATTACAACGTTTTTTTTGTTTCTTACACGGCTGTTTCTCACTGTGGTATACTCTCCGGCTTGCGGAGCCACACAGTGAGCTAGCAGTCTAATCACGGTCTTTGCTCTGCTTCATCCACGCGATCGATCTATAGTAGATCGATCGCGATGGTTTAGCAGGCTCACCGGTCCTAGCAACGGCCGTGCTAGTTACCGGTGTCGTGTCGACACATGCTGCGTTGCACTTTGGACAATGCGGCGATGTGTCGCACCCTGTGGCAACCAGCAGTTCTTCCTAGAACTGCTGCCTTCCTGCAACTTATCTAGGTCATTGAGCAATGACAGTGATGTCTCATCACATTGCTCAATGGCCTCATCTTACCGTAATAGGGTCCTGAACCGTCCTGTTATTACCGATTGACCGAGTACTTCGTATTACCAAGTGTTTTTCATAATTATTGCTTTGATAGGAAAACGGCTCTACAGATTAAAAGATAATAATAAAATTAATCTCGGACACTTTTCAATATATCAAAAATGTAACAAAAATTTTTGATGTTACAATTACCTCTACTTTTAATGTACTGATATTTGTAGTTCAAGGGTTATGCATGAAAACTAAATAGTGTCCAAAATAGACATAACATTCAAGAATGTAATGAGACTATTAGACTCTGATTTGGATGCCTATAATAGACAAACACTTGATACTACGTTTTGTGTTCACGTTTGCTAGCATTTCAGTGCTAAGAATATAAAAATGATTAGTATATAGTTCACGGATATTGGAACAGATGGCGCTGCAACATGTCGATAAAAAAAATTGCTACTATCTCTGGTTTTCTAAGCAAATGTGTACGCAAACCGTATTATAGATTGTTTGTGTCATGTAGGCTTCCAAATCAAAGTCTGTCAATAGTCTCATTACATTCTTGAATGCTATGTCTATTCCAAACACTTTTTGGTTTTTATGCCTAACTCGTAACCTGTAAATGTCAATACTATAAAAGTGGAAGTGATTGTAACTTTAAAAAATTCTAACATGACATGTCAAAATACCACTGAACGTGTAAATGAAAAATGAAATGTGCACGTAGTTTAGATGTTGTTTTTATATATTGTGTTGTATTCAGTTGTGTTATATAGTGTGATTATTTTGTGTTATGTGATTCTTTAAACGTTTAGAATATCATCTGTACTAACGTGAGTATTGAAACACTGCCAACACATGCTGGCTATTTTCTAAAAAATATTAAACTAATGTCAAATGCATCTCTTTGACAGTAAAGTTACTTTGTCTTTTTTCCCAGAGGCGATGAAAACGTGTGCTGGAGTAAAACTTATTATAAACTGCCAATGCATGCTGGCTTTTTTCTAAATAAGTTTAATATAAAGTAATGTCACATGCATGTTTTGACAGTAAAGTTACTTTTTCTTTCTTCCCAAAGGCGTTGAAAACGTGTGCTGGAATATTAATTATTTTGAAACAGTATTGGTTGACGTGTGCTGGCTATATTTAAAAATTTATAATGCCAGAGGCGTCTCATGTGACATAAAATTGATTCGTTTTTTCTCCCAGAGGCGTTTTTGTAAACGTGTGCTGGTGTAAAACTTATTAGGAACTGCCAATGCATGCTGGCTTTTTTCTAAATAAGTTTAATATAAAGTAATGTCACATGCATGTTTTGACAGTAAAGTTACTTTTTCTTTCTTCCCAAAGGCGTTGAAAACGTGTGCTGGAATATTAATTATTTTGAAACAGTATTGGTTGACGTGTGCTGGCTATATTTCAAAACTTATAATGCCAAAGGCGTCTTATGTGACATAAAATTAATTCGTTTTTTCTCCCAGAGGCGTTTTTGTAAACGTGTGCTGGTGTAAAACTTATTAGGAACTGCCAATGCATTGTGGCTTTTTTCTAAATAAGTTTAATATAAAATAATGTCACATGCATCTTTTTGACAGTAAAGTTACTTTGTCTTTCTTTCTAGAGGGGTTGTTGAAAACGTGTGCTGGTGTAAAACCTATTATGAAGTATTTTATTAGTTGATGTGTGCTGGGTATATTTTAAATTTTTAATGCCAGAGTCGTCTCTTGTGACGTAAAATTGCTTTGTCTTGTCTCTTAGAAGTGCTTTTGAAAACGTGCGTACTAATAAATATAAAAGTTTTCAAAACAACATATGCTAGCTGTGTTTTAAATTGTGCCAGAGACGTCTTTTGTGATATACAATTTCTTTCTCTTTTCTCTCAAAGACATTTATATAAACGTATGCAAGTATACTTATAAATAGGAAGTATTTATAATTATTGTGTGCTGGCTATATTCTAAATTGTAAAAACGCCAATGGCGTTTTTTGTAACATAAAGTTGCTTTGTCTTTTTGTTTGCTCAGAAGCGCTTTTCTAAACGTGTGGAAAATGGTTTTTAAAGTCATTTACAAGTGACGTGTTCTAGCTAAGTTCTAAATTTTTTGTGCCAGAAGCGTCTTGTGTAGCATAAAAGTTGCTTTACTTTTGTTCCAAAGACGTTCTTGTTATCGTGTAGTAGTGCATTAAAGTATGAACATTTACAATCAATTTGTGCTGGCTATGTTCAAAATTTCTTGCGTCAGAAACGTCTTTTTGTAACAGAAATTTGCTTTTTTTTCTCAGATGCGTTTTTATAAACGTGTGGTGGTTATGTTCTAAATTTATTGTGTCAGAAGTGTATCTTGTAATATAGAGTTGCTTTATGTTATGTTGCTTTATCTTTTTTTGTCTCAGAAGTGTTTTTGTTAACGCGTGATAGTGTATGTTAAAGAATGAATTAGCGTTTGCTGACTACTTTCTAAATTTATACTGTCAGTGACATCTTTTATAACATAGAGTTGCCGAAACTAGTAAATTTTAGAACTATAAATAATCATGACAAATCTGCTTAAGATCTGTTGTTGATAAAAATCATTATTTCAACAGGCTTGTTGAAAAAACATAAATTAGCTTGATAGACGGCTCCTAATACTACTGTGATCAAAAAGTAAGGTGAAATTGTCATTTAAAACTCCCGGGCATTAGGAAGGCAGGTAATTTTTTTTCCTAGGTTGGTAGGACTGTCTATAATATTTGCCAAGCGTCTGTTTGTCAAAAGGTTTAATTATCTCCGAGTTACACGTGTTTTTGTAAACAATCAAGAGTGAATTTTTCGATTTTTACAATCGATGATTTTGTTGAGCAAAGAAGTTGCATCAAATTTTGTTTGCGGAACAAATATTCTTGTGCGAACACGTTGAAAATGTTGCGGAAGGCCTTTGGTGATCAAACTATGCCACAAAAAAACGTTTATAAGTGGTACAACGAGTTCAAAGCGGGCCGAGGACGCGTTGAAGACGAACCACGCTCTGGACGACCATCAACGTCTACCGACGAGGGCCACGTCCAAAAAATCAAAGATTTGGTGCTTGCAGATCGTCGATTGACAATCAGAGACCTCGCTGATAGTGTTGGAATATCATTTGGCTCAGCCGAAACCATTTTGAAGGATGTTTTGTGTCTTAAACGCGTCAAGTCTCGATTGGTGCCAAAATCGCGGCTCACACTGCATTGGTTCTTCGCGACTTTTTTGCCAAAAACTCGACTCATATCGTTCCGCAACCATCGTATTCGCCTGATTTGGCTCCGTGCGACTTCTGGCTATTCAGCAAACTCAAAAGGCCAATGCGGGGACGCCGTTTTGACACGATTGAGGAGATAAAAACCGAATCGAAAAAGGTCTTGAAGGCTATACCGAAAAAAGACTGTTCCGACTGTTTCGAGGACTAGAAAAAGCGTTCGCATAAGTGCATTGTATCTGGGGAAGATTACTTTGAAGGGGATGCAATTGATTTGGATGAATAAATACAGAATTTACAATTTATAAACAAATTCACCTTACTTTTTGATCACAGTAGTACATTGCTCTGCTGGAATTTATAGTCAGTCTGCAAACTACTTGCAGACTAATTAAAAATTTGTTTACTGAGTACCATAGGCGTGCACTCACACTTATGCTGTCTTTTAGACTTATGTGTGTGTGTATATACAGGGTGTCTGATAATGACCGTCTAACCGCTCGTAGGTAGGTAGAAGGGATTATTTTGAGTCGAAAAGTCCTGAACCATTTTTTTCTATTACATATGATAAAGGAGTAATTATTGAATAAAGTAAGCCAATCAGCGCCGACCTTTAGCCGA